CCTCAAGTATCTCAGCCCCTCTGGCTCCCCCGCCTCCTCCTGTAGCGCCCCCGTTGCCCGGCTGTGGGACGCCCACTGTCATCATGAACTCGGGGTTAGCAGGTAAACTATCCAAAAGTTAAAGAAATGCATATATAGAAACATGTTTTCTATATGTGAAAAATGTATATGTATGAATATTCACACTGGAATCAGCATAGCAGCGTCTTTTTAAGTGACTGCAAAGGGAACGAAACACCAGGTGATCATATTGCATGATACGCTCCTGCTGCAGCTTTGCTTGCTTTGTTCGAGCTGTGAGGGAATCTAGCTGTGATTCACCTGCTTTCCTCCAATGCAGAGTTCAAGGCCAACTGAGCCTTTGCTGCAGCCTTCCAGTTTCTGGGAATATGATGAAGTCAGATAAAGGCACTACACTGCATTCATTTGATGTTTAGTGTTAAGTTAAGCAAGAGCCAGTTATTGGCTTCTTCTTGTTGCTCAGTAAAATCTGTGTAAATCTATATTTGTATGTTTTTTGGTGGTTTACCACTGAACCACAACAGCACACTGCTTAAAGATAATTGGCTTTTTAGACGATCATACATGTATAGTGAGGAGAGATTACACTTTATTGTCAGAATATGCTTCTAAATGTGCTACATACTGCTAAATTTGTAATGTATATATTTGAAGGTGTTGGGCTGATAGTCTTAAAGCTGTCAGTTCTGCTGTTGGGGATGGTCCTGCTCTCATGATGAGTACTGAACATGAATAGTTTTTCTAACCAGATCAGCCTCTACTATATGTAAATGCGGGTGTATATTTCTGGGTATGTTGCGCTTGTGTATCTTACCTATAAGAGGGAGGTGGCAGCTGTCCTGAGGAACTTGAAAGCTTTAAGTCAGAAAACACAGAGATTCTACTGATGTTGGTTACACCGCTCACTAAACAGCAGAAACCTCTTTTAAGTTGTACAGTTACCTTGAAAGCATAGGTCCTTTACTGTCCCATGTGTTTAAGATGTGCGTGCGTAGGCTTTGTCACTAACTTTGCCAATTTTGTTTAATAATTTGTCTTTCGATTGTATCTTTTTTCCTGCCAACCAGAGGGACCCATCAAACTTTTCTGTAGGTTTTGCCTGTCAGGTTTGCTGTCTCAACCCCCCGTCCCCCGCCCACCCCTTGTTCCTTTTGTTCCCCACATTTTGAAAATGGCATTTTCAGAATGCAAATTGAAAACTCAAGAATAACACAGTACATCTGTGTGAAACATTTAGATCATTTTAAACAACAAAGAAAATGACCAAATTTCAAACTTCTGCATGATTTCCTTCTACACCTTGCTGTATTATTGTGACTGTGTGTGTTTGAGTGTTTTTGTGTGAATTACGTGCTGTTGGTTGCATGCTGAGGCACAGTAACCTGCTATGGCATGCAGATGAAAGAAAGCGATATGCATTGTGCAGAGCTGGAATGCTGTTGACCTTTCCCATGCCAGCCTTATCTTCATGTCCTGTTGACACCTTGTGTGTGTGCAGAGCAGGCTGCCACCTCAGCATTCAGCTCCAGTGAATCGACCCAGGTGGCTACAAATAGCTTTAATCTGTCCTGATAAATACATCCTCACCACTTTCTGTACAGGTGTACTCTTTTTATGCCATAGGCAAAGAGGTTTCACTCTGCTTGAAAATGTATAACAGTGTATTTTTTGTTTAGTTTTGGAAGACCAATATGAATGCACAGTTAAATTTAAAAAGTGATCAAAAGGAAGTGGGAGGATCTAGCCACCAAGGAGGCCATATCCATGTGTGTCACAGATCCCATTTACTTGTCTACCCTTTCACCTGTTTGTGTGTGAATGAATGTGTGTGCACTGATAGTAGATAAGGGAAACCGTGTTAACTTGTCTGTGTCCTGTGCAGCTGTTAAGATCAAGAAACCCATCAAGACAAAGTTCCGCATGCCCGTCTTCAACTGGGTAGCCCTTAAACCAAACCAGATCAACGGGACTGTCTTCAATGAGATCGATGACGAGAGGATACTTGAAGTAAGGGTCTCCTCTCACTTAGCAGCTGTTAAGCCTTGTTCATTTCTGCCTCCAATCCCATTTTAATACTGAACAAACCTTATCATCTTTCAGGACCTGAATGTGGATGAATTCGAGGAGATGTTTAAGACGAAAGCCCAGGGTCCACCGATTGACCTCACCACAAGCAAGCAGAAGGTCATGCAGAAGGGGTCCAGTAAGGTGACTCTGCTGGACTCCAACAGGGCGAAGAACCTGGCCATCACACTGAGGAAAGCGGGCAAGACACCCGAGGAGATCTGCAAAGCCATTCAGATGTAAGTCGCTTCAAAATCAAACAATCTCTCTGGTGTTCTTCCATGCGTTTCCTGTAGTGCATGCGACATATGATTGGTTTCACTGTACGGTCATGGGCAGTCCTAGAACATTTTGAACACAGTGGCCAGGATGGGACACTGACTCACAGAGGGATGGCACATGTGAATGTGAATCTAAAATGTAAATGAAACCTCTAGTTCTATGAAATAATAAACCACCCACTATTAGAGATTATGAGACACGCATAGCGCTTTCTTAGCCAACTTTGGCTGCACTCCTTATCTACTCCTGCCCGGGGACATTGCTGCTGCGATGTAAGTCGCTTCAAAATCAAACAATCTCTCTGGTGTTCTTCCATGCGTTTCCTGTAGTGCATGCGACATATGACACCAGGGTTGGCCAATCAGATTCTAGTGCCACCCCTGGCTCCACCCATGCATATGGTATGTTGACAATTGATGAATGTTTTTACCCAACAGTCAAGTGCACCATTAAAGTTTTTGTACTAATGATGTTATCTGTGCATCAAACTGTCGGTGTCTTCTACTTTGGGTTTCCAGTATTTAATATACTTCGTGTACCTCTACCCTCCTGTGTCTCCTCATTTTCCAGGTTTGACCTTCGGACTCTGCCAGTGGACTTTGTGGAGTGTCTGATGCGCTTCCAGCCCACAGAGAATGAGATTAAAGTCCTGCGGCAGTTCGAGAAAGAGCGCAAGCCGGTGGAGAGTCTGACAGATGAGGATCGCTTCATGATGCAGTTCAGTAAGATCGAGCGGCTCATGCAGAAGATGACCATTATGGCCTTCATCGGCAACTTCAGTGAAAGTGTGCAGATGCTGACGCCGGTGAGTTTTGGGATACAAAATTTCCCATTAAATTTCAAAATAAAGTTGATGTTAAAGATACATTGTCATGATTATTATTATTTTTCTTGTAGTACAGTGTGGCAATAACTCAGCACCTTGTCCTCCTCTTTGTCTGCTCACAGCAACTTCATGCAGTCATTGCAGCATCTGTGTCCATCAAGTCATCACAGAAACTAAAGAAAATTTTAGAGGTAATGGAACCACTTGACGTCTGGACTGAACCTCACGTGGAATACATGTATGGTGGCCCTTTTCACACTTTCATTCACTGCTGTTCTCCAGATTATCTTGGCTCTTGGAAACTACATGAACAGCAGTAAAAGAGGAGCGGTATACGGATTCAAGCTGCAAAGTTTAGACTTGGTAAGTCGCTTCTCCCCAACTTTAAAACGTCTACTTGATCTCTGTCAATGTCCCTACACATTTGTTTTCTGATTTCTGTTCTTCGCAGCTCCTTGATACCAAGTCGACTGACCGCAAGTTAACGCTGTTGCACTACATAGCCAATGTGGTGAAAGAGAAATACATGCAGGTTTCTCTCTTCTACAATGAGCTGCACTATGTGGAGAAAGCTGCAGCAGGTGAGTCGCGCAGTGAAGACGTGTTTGTTTTAAGTTAACAGGAATGTCAGTTTATAGGTAGATGTGAGACCCAACCCCTTGTTTTCTACTTTTCTCCATCAGTGACACAGAGACAAATTATTGTCTATCTGTTGTACTTGGAGATTTGGTTTGTTCCTGTTTCTGTTAATTTGCCTACTTTGTGTACTTACACGTCTCCCCTGTGTTCAGTGTCGCTGGAGAACGTCCTACTGGATGTTAAGGAGCTGCAGAGAGGCATGGAGCTGACCAAACGAGAGTACAGCATGCACGGCCACAACACCATGCTCAAAGACTTCATCGCACACAGTGAGAGCAAGCTGAAAAAGCTGCAGGATGATGCCAAGATTGCACAGGTAACAACACAGACACACATTGTGGTCCTAGCGCCTTGTTTGTTTTCACTCTCTGTTAAAGTGTTTTCTGAGTAAATCCACTTTGTCTTCGAAGGATGCCTACGACGAGGCAGTGAAGTTCTTTGGGGAGAACGCCAAAACCACGCCGCCACCCGTCTTCTTCCCTGTGTTTGTGCGATTTGTTAAGGCTTACAAGGTGAGCTGGATAACCACAGTCGTACTAAACTGACAGCACACATCTGGCCAACTAAGACTTGATGTGACTAGAGCAGCTTGGGAGGATACAAAGATGTTTTGTTTGAAATGCCACTGCTGTGTGATGTGTACGACGTGCTCTGGATGCATTCATTCATGTCTGTTTGTGTGCGCATGCCTGGTATTACTCACCTTGTGCAGATTGAAACTTGTTTACATACTCGCGTTCTCGTCTCCACCATGTAAATCACTGAATTTAACAGTGACATCTTGGTTTAAGGGTCAGGTTAAGGATTAGGCAAATAGTGGTTATGGTTAAGGTCAAGGCAAGTCCCCACAAGGAATGAAAATAAATGAATGAATGTGTGTGTGTGTCAAAGTGTACAGGATATGACTGGACATCAGTATCCTCTCAAGACAGCCCATTTTATTCTCTACCAAGTTAAAAGCCTAAGAAATGTACAAATAAATCAGCAAAATAACACCTCACAGAGTGTGTTACAGTACCTCCCATCCTTTTGCACAGGTGTGTCAATAACCTTTGGCTCTTTGCAGATTAATAGTTTTTTTATTTTGCAGCTGTTTGATCAACAGATTAACATGAACTGGGATTCGGTCCAGCTGTTTTCCTTCAGTGGCAGTTCTGTTTAGTGCAGTCCTTTTTCTTCTAGCTACCCCTAGAACTGTTCAAGCATGATCTCAGCTTGCAGAGAGCATTTGGTTGTCTGTTTTTTAAAATTCTGTGAACAGTGTGTTATGTTTAAACTTTGTGTAACAGCGTGTACTTGACATGAATGTGTCATCTCCTTAGCAAGCCGAGGAGGACAACGAACAAAGAAAGAGACAGGAGCAGATTATGATGGAGAAACTTCTAGAACAAGAAGCCATGATGGAGGAAGACCAGAAGGTCAGTCGCCCTTCTTTCCCAACTCTCCACCCCTTTTCTTTTTCCTGCTTTCTCAGGCAGGAGGCTACAGTAGATCACGAAGTCCAGAGGGTAAGCCAGCTGTACTTCCTTCACTTCTGCTTCATCCTTTCTTCCTCCAGATTCTTGATGACAGGATTAGTTAAGCACTAACTCCCTGCTGGGTTTACTTATATCTGGTTCTACAGTCCGATACCCTGCTGAGCCACATCAGCTCAGGATCAGTGGTTGTATTTCTTAAATGGTCCATTTAAATCACACATGCACAAATGCGAGAATGAATGAATGAGCGGAATAAACGAAAGTTACCAGTGGGAAAGACCTTTGTGGATGACGATGTACTGTAGTCATGACTGTTAACAGATGTTAAAAGAAGTGTGTGTGTGTGTGTGTGTGTGTCTTCCTCAGTCTCCATCCCATAAAAACAAGCGGCAGCAACAGGAGCTGATCCAGGAGCTCAGGAGGAAACAGGTGAAAGACAGCCGCCATGTCTACGAAGGCAAAGATGGTGCAATTGAAGACATCATTACCGGTAAGACCACCTGGGCCTGGCTGCCGTCTGTGACCACACACACACAGGGCGCTTTGCATGAAGGTCCTCTCCTGCGCTATACACTCAGTTATTAACATAGGGATCCTAAACCAACTAACACAATGACTTTGGCTCTTTCAAGATCGTGCTGACAACCAAAGGCGGAACCTAACACGTACAAACATGCACTGATAGCCCCGCTAATCCAGTGACATTCAACTCAAATGATTCTGATGATCATTGCTTATCTGCTTTGTAACACGAGCTGTGCGTAGACGGGGCCGAGTCATGACCAGTTCCAAGAATATTAATTAATAAGACAGTAATAAATACATCTGAGAGGCAATGAAACATGCAGTGATGCAATTAGAGCCAAGTACATTGTTCAAGTCCAAAATCTTATTTAAACTAAACCTAATATTTTTAATTAATGCCACTTTATACATATTTTCACTGGGTTTCTTATGCAAATATGGTACCTTTACATTGTGCTGCAGGGTTTTTTGTTACTTATTGTGACACACAGATACCGATACATCTGCAGTCAGCTGATAGAAGTCTTAGTTATGAAATAGGTTTTTACATACAGAACATATAAGCTAATACAATGCATCGTTATAGATTATATACAGTTTGGGCGGTTTTAGTAGTTGTACCCATAGTTAAACTGTTGACATATTAATACATTACTATAACCAACAATATATAATAATCCAATGCTCAGATGTCTTCTATGCATATGTAGTGCTTTCATTTATACTTTGAGTACACTTTAACACTCATGTACTTTAGTAAAACTTTGACTGGTTTTATGGCTACTTTCACTTCAGTACGCCACCAGCAGCCACAGTAATCTTTTTGGTTTATTTCCTCTGGCAACTGAAATTCAGATTCACCCAAATCTTTAACAGTAGTTTCCTTAGATTCTTACGAAGTCACAAACAGTTTATAGTAAACCTAATAACCCTGGAATGGTTTCTTTTATTGCTCACTAGCGAGAGCATTAACTGCTACTCTCAAACTCAAGACATTTTCCCCGGCCTCTGCTGATGCTGTTTGTAGGGTATTTGCTTAATGCTAACCAGAGCTAAGCAGTCTGCTTTTCTTATACTATGTTTGTCTTGTCTTGTCCTGGCTGTTGTCCCTGTTGTTCTCAATGCAGTGCTGAAGACAGTGCCCTTTACCGCCCGCACAGCCAAGCGTGGCTCTCGGTTCTTCTGCGAGCCCGCCCTCAATGAGGAGTACCATTATTAAGCTTGTAGAACTCTCTCTTCTCAAAGGTTGCTGGAACACAACATTCTCTTCTTCGTCTTTCTCTCCTCCCTTTATCTTCACACTTCAGACCTGTGCATGTGCATGGCTTTTGGAAACATATATATCTAAGTGTGTGTGTTAATGTTTGTTTTCTCCCTCCCTTAGTCTAACTGGGGGGGTTAATGATTTTTTTTTTTTTATTGTCCACCTGCAAGAATTGTAACACCTCATCATCTTTATTTTATCAACCATGGCAACAATAGTGTCACAGAGCGACGGTCTCCAAGGTCACTTATCTGTACTTTTTCAGTTAAGGGATCACAAAATTTTAGCTTGGTGCTGCCATCTAGTGGTGGTAGACTAATAGTAAATACTGATTTATGAATGTAATATTAAGTTTATCTCCCATCAGATACAAATTTATAGATCCAGTTTGATCAGTAACAGGCTAGAGCCCTACCCTGTAGTGTGTACCTGTATTATACACAAACTTCATTTAAACAGCAAGCATGGCCAGCGTCATGATGGTGAGAGTGCCTGTGGCATTATAACTTGCTTTTTCTGTGTTTCAATCACTTTTAATCAAATGAATTTTTGTGTTCAGCATCACACATCGTTACTGCTGTTCATACAGCTTCTTGCATGCTGATTGCTTCATCCCTGCCACTTTCCCACAATGCACCCTTGCTCTGCAGTAAGCCCGTATGCTGTACTTGGTCCTGCCACTTGCTGACAGGTCACTGACTTTGTTTCCTGGCACTAACATACACTGCATGATGCCTACATATAAATGAGCTGTCAGCAGGATGTCCTTTCAGTTGCTGTCTGTGTGTGCTACTAACACGCAACCAGGTTGTTTCACTGAACTGACACCTGTTTGGCTGCAGTTTATTCACTGGTAAACGGTGTTTCCCCGGCTGCACGCACGCTTTGGTTGGTTTTTGGAGAAGATGCTGTTGAACATAATCCTGCTGTCTCCTGGTACTATATTTATTTCAGTTCACAATTGCTACATACTAGAATTCTGAAATAGACTCTTTCCTTTTCTGCTGGTAGCCAATCTGCAAAGCAGCCTCGGTTTAGCAACACAGAAAAAAAGAAGCTTTGATTCTCCTCTTCCAGTTGAAGCAGTTACCATCCTCGAGCTCTGTCCCCTCTCAGACCCCACTCTGGCCTTTTCCCCCATGCAGCCTGTTGGCATTCTGCTTTGCTCTTGCAGCACTCAGTGCAAAGCCAATGTGAACATGTTGGGCTGATATGGTCTGTTCAGCCTTGTCCATGTTTAACCTTCATTTTGTCTTCTCTTCATCTAGCCCTAAAGAAGAATAATATTACTAAATTTCCCAATGTCTACTCGAGGGTAAGGAACTCCTCCAATAGCACCCCTGTCCCAAACCTGGCAAGCATCTCTTTATTATCTCATTTCCTGTTTTACTGGCTTCTCTTTTAGGGTCCACTCAGCATTGACCTCCTTATTATACCTCCTTAATAACGGTACATTTGATTGTCTAATGATAAAGCAGTTGTTGTGCGTTGCTGTAGTTTCCTCATTCCTTTTAGATGAATATGTATCTTGAATTCTCAGGATACATCTCGGCTTGCCTAGATTTCTCACAGAGGCTTACAAGTCAAAACCACGTAGCTGGTCTCAGGTGTAATATCCAGAGACATCTGACCTAAAGCGCTTCTTTTTCTGTGTGGACCTTATACTGCTTTGAAAGACAGGCTGCCAGCAGTTTGAGCATGTGGGCTCATCAAATCGCCCCGACAAGACGACTGACAGCCTTTTTTATTCACCCCCAATCCCCTTTTCTTCCCCCTCAGATTTGAGGAATCAGCCTTACAGGCGCGCAGATGCTGTGCGGAGGAGTGTCAGGAGACGCTTTGATGATCAGAATCTGCGGCCGGCGAACAACGGCGAAGTGGTCATGTGACGAGGGAGCAGTGTATGTGTTGGAGGGCTTGAAAGAAGGCGAGGGTGAGCAACAGAAGGGTCGATGCAAAGTGAAGGATAAGTGAAAGATGACGAGTTTTGTAGCAGCCATAGAAATGATTCTGTACATACACGTTACTCTGCTTCTTACTATGAAGGACTGGGACACGTATGGGACTGAATTTAAAGAAAAGTGTCTGAAAGGTTGACTCAGAAACCTTAGACAAGCCAAGTGCCTGAACTTATTTTTGTGATCTAATGTCAATGTTGTCTTGTTTGTCTGTTTTTAATATTCCCCAATTCCAGCAATACAACGTGACCTGGCTTTAATGTTAAGATGTGTAAAACTGGACTCACAGTGGCCTTAAGAGCCACATGAAGAGATGCTTCCTTGAAAAAAAATAACGAATGTATGGGACATGTTCCCTTTAGCTGTTACAGATATTAACATCTTTTAGCGATGAGTTTGACACTGTAATATCTCGGTACATTCCGGTGCTCTTTTCCCATTCTTACTCTGTAAACGTTGACTTATTTTAACTGCTCAAGATGTCTTTAAACTTTTACTAAAAGGGCTGGTGATTAAGGCTGACAGAAAGTGAAAAGAGAATAACAAAAATCTATATTTGTACTATATTAAGTATGACGTAGATGAAGAATATCTGACTGAAAAAAAGACTAGTCAAAACAAGACCAGGCTAATGTGAACCACACGTCAGGTGTCTCCATATCGACTTTCATCATTGATTACTACAGTTAATGGATCGAGCCTTACTATGTAGCTTTTACTCCATAAAACTAGGCTGCCTTCTTACATAACATTATGTATGCTGTATGGGCAAAACAATTTGACAGGGTTTCTGGGAACAAATTGAGCCGATGCAGAATCTGCACAGCAACAGAATGTTTTCCATCAAGCATAAAAACTGCACACAAGATACTGAACCCTACAGGAAGATCTCATCAAAACTGGAGATAACTCAGCAATTTATTTCTTAACATTTTTACAGGATTATTCTCTTCCAAGTTACTGTGTCAACTCACTTTATTGTAATTTTAATGTATAGTATTTAACCACTGAAAAGATTGCTTTAAACTGTGTCCATGCTAATTGAAAAAATGTCTCTTAAATATCCAGATGTTTTGGTACCACCCATGTTTTCTTTTTTTACTCAATTCACATTACATGAATGTTAATATTGTACATATTGTTTAAACAAAGTTTTCATTGCCATGTCATACAACTTGAATGTTACTTTAACTTATAGTTTTTGTTTCCATTTCTGTAAATTTAATTAAGCCAAATACGTCAGCAATCAACAGCAGCGTGGTGACAGATGTCCCTAAATTTACTAGTGCGTGTCATAGGGGCATCAAAGCCAGTTACCAAACCCTGCAGTACATTCTGATTTGCAAGTATTCGCACATTTTAACTACATGGGCACAGTATAACTATTAAAACTAGTTTCCATTAGTTGACCTTTGAACTGGTTTTGCGGCACGTGCTGCCGTTCTCTCCTTTTAGCTCATCTTCACCATCTGTAATAGCAACATGCATCTAACTGGATAATACTGGCATGTTTTTTTTTTTTTTTTTACCTTCATGTGAAATGTATTTTAGGCAGTTTGTGCTTAAAAGAACATAACAAAATAAGCTTTTTTAAACTAGGTGATGAGATGATCAAATAAACTATTTACAATGAATACCTGAATCACTTTTGTCTTATTCTGTTATTACAGCTGGTAACGGTTAATAACTGACAGGTCGCCGTTACTGAAACACTTAGCTTTTTGTTTTTTTTTTTGCCTTCAAGTGAATGGCATCATCTAATTTGGATGGGGTTGCTCCATTTTAAGGCCACATTAGGATAATAATCCAGATACTTTGAAGGGTTTGGTAAGTACAGGGGAGGATTAGGGCCTGTAAAAAGGGAGTTCTGACACTGATGTTACTGAATTTCTAAAATATCAAATTACAGACATCCATTGGATCATTATTTTATTACAATTTAACAAAATGCTCCAATTAAAGCTTTTTTGGATCATTCCTTTACAATGGTGGGTACATTGGCTCAAATCAGGACTATTTCCTGTTAGTTCTGGACAATTGTCTGCTTTCTTCAGTTAATTTTTACACTACTCCAGGTGAAAGGCAATTAGCTGAAATGTGCTTTTAATGAAGTAAAAAAAATGGAACATACAACTACAGTCAACTAAAATAAGAAAAACTTAAACCGCTAACAAAAGCAATAAAGGACAAACTGACAGTGAACAAATGATCAGCTATACCTGATATCAAGTTCCCAAATATCTGTACGCTCTGTGTAGTACATTCCCATAAATACCAGTGGAAGGCGTCGTCTCCCCCAGTCTGTCCAAGATGGTATGGCCAGTGCAGTCAGTTGAGCTTGCAGGGAATGCGTGTTTGTAGAAGTGTACAACTACCATAAAAGAAGCATGATGATCAAGGTGCGTCCAGCTGTTCCAGTAAAGTCCTTCTCCTTTTCTCCAGCTCTCCTTCACTCAGCTCACTGCCTGACGTATCCCAGCCACCCTGATTACAACAAAGAGAGAGGCCATGACTCACTAATGATAAAGAACAAGAAACAAGTACCAATATAACAGTAGCGGGTGTGTGTCTGAGTGTGAGGGCCATGTCATCAGTCCTCACACTGCTGACTTTACAAACACGGGGGAGGGGGGGGATTACATGCTTTAAACAAAGGCTACATGTATGCAGCAGTAATTAACTCATCTCTTACGTTAAAATCAAGAATTCACCTCGTCTTTGGCAGCTTTCCTTTTAGGAGACTTCTGTTTAGAGTCAGAGCGTGATTTCCCCCGAGACTTGTCGTTCTCTTTATCTTTCTCCAGGTCCTTTTCACGCTTTCCATCACGCTCCCTTCCTTTCTTCTCAGTGTCAGAATCTGGTGATGCCTGATTGCCACAGCAACATTCAGCATACATCCAAACAACATGTACATTCAGATTATATACACACTGCATGAATTGCGACAGCTTCCTGTACACTTACAGACTTGTGGCGTCTCTTCTTGCCCTTCTTCTTGTGCTTCTTGGATTTTTTATAGCTTCTCTCTGATTTCAGGCAGAAAATGCCAGTAAATGTCAACAGTACTGCACTTCTATGATGTGATGATAAACAGACTGAGCTGTGAAAATCTCTCACCAGACTCTCCACTAGAGGAGCGTTCGGAGGGGGATTTGGACTGCGACCTCTTTTTCTTCTTGTGGTACTCCTCATCCTCAGACTCTGAGCCCTGTCAAAACATTAATGAGGAATGGCATGGAGATTTGAGATGTAGGCAAAGGAAGTATTCCTGTGTATTACTAACTCCACAGCAGTTGACACTACTGACCGATCGAGAGCGGGATCGTTTCCTGTGGTGCTTCTTGGACTTCTTTGAGTGCTTCTTTGTCTTGGAATGGTGATGTTGGCATTCATGCTGTTAAAACAACAGATGCTATGTTTAACATCATCATCATGATCATCATGAGTGATCCATTCAGTGCAGTCTCATAACAGCTTTACCTCTAAGACATGCATGAAGTCTTTGAATATTCTTTTCCTCTCTGACTCCAGAGTCACATCTTCAAAGGCAGACTCTTTCAGGAACCTCTCTCTGACCTGGAAGGTTAAATATGTGAATCATTACAAAGTGTAATGAAGTGACTGGATACCATCGATGCTAAATAAAAAAAACTTTTGAAATTGTTGGATGTTTATAGTGGAGATAGGGCCAGAAATAAAAAAAATTGTTTGTGCTGTCAATCCATAAGAATATTCTTCCTATAAAAGACGTACTCCCTCCCATGTAGTCTCGGGCTCAAGCGGTGGCGTCGCCTGTTTCAGCATGTTCTTGAAGGCTACTTCTTTCCTCTTCATCTTCCTGGCCTCCTCTTTCTCTCGCTCCCGCTCTCTGGCTTCGGCCTTCTCCAGTAACTGCACAGTAGGAGGTTGTAAGGAAAGGTGAATCTAATACAAACTTTGAAAATAAAAACTCAGTCAACAGGTAAAGCTCAAATTCCGAAGCCTAAAGTGTGATGACTGAAATGTTATCCTCTTACCATAGTTTTCCAGCATCACTGTACATCTTTGGAAATGTACACTCCGTGTAGACATTATAAACTTTGTGAATGTAGAATTTATGGCAGAACTGTTTTGAATTGCAGCAGAATGAAGAGGTGTACCTAATTAAATGGCCACTGAAGGTGTGAAGGATTTGTGAGAAGCTAGTGAGGAAACATATGTAGGACTGGAGTCTTACACTGTTGAAGGCCAGCTTTATGTTTCCTGCATCCAGTGTGGTGGCTCTCTTGTCTGAGCTGATAACTGAGCCAAAGTCATCGAAGCTGGTGTTGACTTCAACCAGGAAGCTTTTATCCTGAGAAGGACATTTGAGAAAAATGTGTAGAAAAATACTTAGATCAAAACAAAGCTCTCAGAGGAGACACTGACATGTGCAGACATACAATGTACATATGACACTTTTCGCTCCTCTGAACATAAACCAGCTATTCATGAGTTTTGCACCAGAGGTATAAGAATCTCACTTTAAGAATATCTTTGATGATCCTTTTTTCATCGTGGTAGCGAGCCTTCAGGTCTTCCACATAGAATTTGAACAAATCCAGGGGAGTGGAACCTGCACAACAGACACCGTTAAGTAAGAAAATGGAAATACTGTTCTATGCAGCAAACAACTGTAAACCAAGAGGGTCCAACGCAGTCATACAAGGATGCAAAAACAACGAAGCCAACAGAAAATAAAACATTTTGTAGCTGAAAGCTTTTTGGGGAAAGTAAAATACAGCCAACCAGAAAACAAACTGAAGTGAAAGATTAAGTGTGTGGTGACCTGCTGCCCTACCTGGCTGGCCCAGCGTGTTGGCAAAGCGGATGTCTGAGCTCAGGGTTGGGTACATCTCCATCCAGGCAGACATGGAGTGAAGCTGGCCATGGTCATGGAGTTCATCCAGAAATTTCTAAGAGAAAAACTAAATATTCATATAGGACAACTGATGGACCCATGTTTGTCTGTTTCCAAAGAGAAACTGGCCTTTCATCTGATTTGCATTCAGATAACCATGAAACCTTTTTCAGCAGATAAAGAAAAAAAAAATCCACAAGTGTTTTTTTCCTTTCCTTACACTGTGATTCCAGTACATGGTGTTTTGAATTAGACGTTCTCTCCCCCATTCCCTCTCACCTGGAAACCCTCTCTGTTCTTGCGTTGTCGTCGTCTCTCCCTGAGAAGAGTCTTCTGTTTCTCTTCCTCCTCCTCCTTCTCCAGCGCCCGGATGTGCTCCTCAAAACAAATCAGGGCATCCTCCTTGTCCATATCTGTCAGCGGGGTCATACAACCAAGGAAACACATGACTCTCAGTTACAGTGAATTACACACTTTCTTATAAACAGTATCTGTTGTTTCAAACCAAAGTAGATGACTTAAGAAATTCTGCTATCATACTCTGCAACTCCTCATCTTCTGCAAAGGTGGGGTTGTCTAGCAGGTACTGCTGGGCCTCAGACCAGGTGGTGCGGTATGTCACATTGGCCATGTTGTCCAAAATGTTCTTCAGAGCTTCCCAGTTCCTCTTTCTTAGCTGCTTGGCTTGCTCCTGGAAACAGTTTGTAGAGGATGAAACTAGAGTTTTAATTGTGCCAATATTGGCCAAGCCCCCATCCTCAAGTCATTCATGATACAGTCAGATGAATGATTCTGCATCAACATGATAAATGTGCTGACTAAAAATCTCTTCAAAAGCTACAGCTTGGAAGGACTTTGACCTGTAAAACAAAGCCTTACCTTCTCTTTCTTAGCAAGGTAGAACAATACATCTTCATAGATCTCCAGCCTGTCTCTCTCTGGAACGCAGCTCCACACCTCGAGCTCCCCAAACATCTGTTCTGCTTTCCTGGTTTGGAAGTGTAAACATAAAAACAAGCACACGTTTAGGATATTTTCACACAATAACCCACATGATGGCAGTATTTCACAGCCCAAATTTACCTTTAACACAGTGGTTGTTAATATTTAGACCAAATCATCAGACGCACAGTTGAGGAGAGTTCATATAAAACTCATGAAATGTTAATGTAAAATTCAAGAGACGTTTTTCAAGGAACAGTTTCCATTATGTGCACTTGGCATGTCATTTCCCCGACTGCTCAAAAAAGCAAGAAGCTGTGGCTGACTGCAGTGAAAGAAGTTTTAAAATTTAAGTAGAGTTACACACATACAGACAGCCCCTGCTCTCATTCTCCATCTGCTTGTTGTGTGCCATCCCAGATTACAGCCCCAGCCACAACAACCACAGCGCCGGCTAACTCTGAAAGTGGCTTGTTGTCAATGTCACCAGTCGGTCCATCATCCTGTGCCCGTTGTGATAACTCTCACCCAAATGCCAAACCAAAAAAGTGCTGCTGAACTGGATGTCACAGGCAAGACCACACATCCAGCGGCAACATTTTATAGGTTCTCTTATCTCTGGTGCATTTGTGTGTGAAACTCAATGAAAACCGTGAGTAAGAGGAGAAAGTAGAAGTCTATGAACTGCATTCAAACTAAGTTATATGCACTTTTGCCCCACAGTTAGAACTAACAAATCGCTGATGTCCGTTCACTCACTAAACTGTGATCTAGCAGCATTGTGTTAGGGCTGAACACGATTCACAGTGTGATGACTACTAAGAGATCATAGTGTTCCAACTGCATGATGGTGTTCACATGCTGTAGATGACCTTTCACTGATGCATCTGCATAATCATATTGACATTTCAGGGAACCACAAATCAATGTGGGGGAAAACAAATGTATTGTCACTGCAGCACTTACTTGTATCTGGTTGTAGAAGTCATCTTTTCATGGTTCTCCAAGAATCTCTGGAAAGTCTCCTTGGACTCCTTATATTTAATTCTGGCTTCCTCCTTTTCTTCCTTCTCAGTTTGAACTTTGTAGGCATTAAACGCCTGCTTCTTCTCACTTAGTTTGGGAAGGGCGCTTTGTTGACAACAGTAAAAACTTTGAATTACATTACAGGACATTATTACAGGACATTTCATCTCATCTCATTTGCTGTTGTACAGTAAATAGGATAAACAGATCCCTGGAGAACAGTGTACCTGTAGCGAGGATCATTGATAATCATTTTCATAGCTTGTTCCCAAGAGGAGTTTGAGGATACACCCTGAAATAGAAAGAATAAGGCAAAGTCATGATGGCCTGTACAGTTAAACTAAAGTGTTAAATTATCATATCAAATGTCTAACATAGTCAAACAATAGGTCAAGGAAAAGGATAACTGTCCTTTGTTAGAAAAAGCACAAGACAGGAGGAAAAATGAGCTGTGCTAGAACTCAAAACACCTCGTCTTAATTACTAGCAGATGATGGGTTAAGAGGTGCGGAGTGGTGATAATTCACACAAGTGCCACTAAGGATTTATGTAAGCAGCCCTTTGGCCACTTGCCTCTCCCAGGGAGTGACTCCATCCATTATGAACTGCTTCCACCGTGAGCCTGTCTAGTCACTTGTGACAGTTATTCTAACTCATTAAGGCATTGCCCCTTTCTCTCACTGTCTTAACCCCCAGCCAGCCCCGTGCCTTTGATCCAATAAAGCTAATCATAAAGACAGAGCCATTAAGATCTTGCAGGAAATGGCAAGCAATCTCAGAAGGGAGCTTTGTGCACAAAATTAGGAGTCGTCTAAATATAGCAGGATCCAAGGTGGGTGGCACTAGGCCACCTTGCAACCAAACACACAACACATCCACAGCAACAGGAGGTGAAGCATACAATCAAGATAAGACCTCTGGGGGCTCATAAAGGAGGGCGGGAATTCAATCTAGATCAGAATGTAAAGGATGTGCTCGTAAACATATCAGATATGAGGAGAGACTGATGTGGTACAATTAACTTTAAAAACAGACGACCTTTGTATTATAATGTACAACTCGATCATCAAAATCCTTGCTGATGAAACTATAGCCCCTTTTACACAGAGATCATGGGAAACTGCCATTTTGACCCTCCTTCAAGGCAGCTTTTTTAATTAAAGCCCTTTTACACTTAAATAAAATTAAAAAAAAAAAAAAGACAGCAAACTGCTGCTACTGTGTTCGTGCCAGAATCCCAGTACTAGAGGGGTGATGCTTATCATGACGTCCGATGGTCTGTGTACTTGGCAGCCAATTTGAAAACAAAATAAACAGGCTCTTATTTGATACATTTCTAAACAAAAATCGGCAATTATAGCCTAACTGGTGCATCCAACGTCAGGTCTGTGCATCTGTTTGAGGGCAGTGCCACACACAGGGTTGTGCAGAGGTGTGGCTTGTGTTTATTCGTGCTTTATAACATACCCACAGTGAAATAATCACAAAATAACGTTTTAATTCTGATTCACTTTGTTCTCGCTAACAGTGCTCTCTCTCCTCATTCACTCTCTAGCTCGCTCGCTCTCTCCATCTCTGACGTGGAGGTGGGGTGAACTTGTCTTGGGAAAAATACCACCTTTTACACAGAATAGCAAAGTGGAAAAGTGGTAGAAAATTCCTGTGTACTAAATTTTAGAAACAACAAATCGTAGCAAACTACAGCTACTTTGAAGGCAAACACTGTCAGGATTAATCCCGTAATATCTGGCACTGCAAACATCAACGCAGTCAATCCTACTGTCTTCATGCACATGGAAAATGACATTTATAATCTTTTGGACTGACTGGCCAACCAACCCACAGAGCCCATTACTCTTGGTGCCGGTCATAGCTAAAAGCATTAATGGATACTAATGTATGTCCAGGTCGATGTGCTGAAGCCAGCAGATGGAAATGTTTGTATTTGTCCTGCTAAATGTCAAATAATATGAACATTCAGTACTGTCCTCCAGAGACAGCACAATGTCTCCAGTCTCCTACAGTGTGTGGCCTCTAGCTCAGCTACATGTGACCAACACTGGGGACTACAGCCTGTCTCACCTTCTCCTTCAGCAGCTCTTTGAAGGCCTGCTTGGCCTCTTCTTTTGTGTTCCATTTGTAGGTTTTCTTTTGAAGCTCTGGACGTTCTTCCTTTGGGACTTCAACACTGAGGGCAAATGAAAATGATATGTGGTTCACTTAGCTGTGTTTAATCAATATAGCAGCATTTTACTACATCCAGAGTTTCTGCAGGTTAAAATCCTGACATTTTTAGCAAGCAGCGAGTTGTGGTTCAGACAGGTGAATACTGATTATGGAATTCTAGATGTTTATGCAGATTTATTATGGAAGCTTGGTCCTCAAATTCTGCTTTACGTTTTAATTAGCGTAGCAGTTACTGTGATTCGTGCTGTTTTTATTATTAGATTTTGTTAAGCATGGTATCGCAAAAACATTTTTCCAAAAAACACATTAAGTTAATGTGACATTACAGAAGTAACGTCAACATAATGTTAAAATTATCAGCTTAACCAAAGCATGATCAATTTTTAAGACCTATCCAAGACCTTTTAAGGCCTAAAATTGAGATTATTGCACATTAGACTTTTTAAGGATCCAAAATTGAACTCCTTATCCTTGAACACATTAAGTTGAAAGGATGCTGTGAAGATAAAACCAACGTCACTGTGACCCTACAGTTCTGGCTTGATGTACATATACAGTGGGTACGGAAAGTATTCAGACCCCCTTAAATTTTTCACTCTTTGTTATATTGCAGCCAATATGGGGTGCTGTGTGTACATTAATGAGGAAAAAATGAACTTAAATGATTTTAGCACATGGCTGCAATATAACAAAGAGTGAAAAATTTAAGGGGGTCTGAATACTTTCCGTACCTACTGTATGTTGCGCATATCTGCCTACTGGAGGCAGCACCTGTCTGTATCCGACATAATCGTTTACCTAGCTGTGGGCTCTGTGTTTGCTGAGTTCTCTGAGGAAGCCACAGGTGTATCTACAGCCTTAACCTCAGGTGTGGGATGGACGGTTGCCTGGGGCAGCTGCTCCTCTGAGACTGCTGCTGCAGTTTCTGTCTCTGTTACGGTCGCTATAGTGGCTGTATTATCTGCTTGCACTGCAAGAGCTGTGGTGGTGCCAGGGGCCGCTGCCTCAGCCGTTCTGAAATGACAGCATAATGGTAAAGACATGTCACATGATTGTAATATAAAGGGTCACTTTGTGAAAATGAAATGCCTGGACATAGTAATGATAAAGATTTTAATATTGGAAGAAGAATTCATTTTTAATAGCCACTGTATTTGTTACTCATAATACATGCACAGTGCAGCCGCGAAGAGTGACCAAAGGTAAACAGGAAGCTCTTACCCATTCTCTTCTGCTTTGATCATAGCTGGAACAGACAAAAGGAGATACTTCTTTTCATTTCAAAGCACAAGACAGATAAGAGACCAGCACAGAGATAAATGTACTGGAGCAGCCGCCATGTGTTCCTGTATTTATACATCAGTGGTGCCCAAACCCCCCAGTGCAAGGCGCCATTCATGAAAAAGCCAGCAGCCTGCCATTCATCACGCTGATACAGGCTCATCCATGGAGCCTAGGATGGAAAATCACTGCCTTTCTCACAACAGGTTTGACATCATCAAACAGCAGCTCTTTACCTTCCAGATCCTCCAGCTCTTTGGGTTTGGTCCATCTGGACTCCTTTGTCTGAGAGTTGTAATAATAAGGCTTCCCTGTGTCTGACTTGTACTCCTTCCAAAGGCATTTGGACAGCATTTGCTAAAAGAGGAGGAAACAAAAGGCAAAGAACGTCAGCTGAGAAACAGTGCACCGAGATAACTAATGTGATGTTAGGATTCATATGAAACTGACAAATTGATTTTATTATGGATAACACACAATTAACCTAATTGTATTCAACATGTGAGAATAGTAAATACATGCCTGTAGGGCCTTTAAATATTCTGAAAAGGGGCTGCAGATGAGAAACAGTCCACTTTGTCTGTTACATTTATGAGTTAATTTCTATCAATTTACACTGTCGCTGATAAATAGAAGTAAAAGGGGATAAATTATGTTTAACTTTGTGTAAAATTAAGTGAATATGTAAGTAACTAAATGATTAGTTTGAGGCATTGTACAAGTAGAATTTAAACATGCTATGTAACTGATAAAGGTTTGTACTTCTGCAGGAGACTTGAGTTCATCCGGTTTCTCCCATGTGGATTGTTTGGTCTCTGTATTGTAATAATAGGTCTTCCCATCCACTGATTTGTGCTCCGTCCACAGGGACTTCTAATGCAGACAAAAACCACAGGCAAAACATTTGCTTAGAAAATAAAAGAAACAAAACAAGAAGCCATTTCACTTTGCTTCTATTTCAATGCTATTACAGTTCCTAGTTAATAAGTCTTTCACATCGATGTTTCCATTTCCAGTCTGCACAAACCTTCTTTGGCTGTTCTTCCTGTGGCGATCCATTTGTGGTACTCTGTAGAGACATGAACAAATCAAAGACAGAATGCAAAACAGCACAGCTAATGACAAGAACTCAAAATTGTAAACTAGCAATTACTACATATATATAAAAAACTGTCCCACTTACAGCTGTTCCAGGTGCAGCAGCTGTGAGAACAAAAATGCAAATCATTCAGGCCCTGTGCTTCAAAAATATGGAAGAGTAAGATGTATAAATAATAAGAAATAAAAGTCTTTACCTGTGGAGTCAACACCAGGCTGCGGAAAAGACAATTTTATTAGAAACATATACACATCTGGTAGTTTACATCAGCACACCTCTACCTGGGAATACAGATTCATCATACATAATACGGAGTAACTCACAATGCTTTCACAATTAGTAGAAAAGTCCACACTCAAAATGCAAAAATATACTTGTGTTGCTTGAGTGGCTATCTTATGATCTCTAAAGCTGCCAAGGTGTTGTTACACAGCATATCAAACATCATGTTTGGCACTGTTTGCTATTCAAATACAGAACATCAACAGTGAAGAACTCGTGTGTTTCGCTGCATTTACAGTTATTCACAGCTGGATCAAAGCCAAAACATTAAAGTGACGATAACGGACATATTGCACACAGGTGTTCATTATAATTTCGATCAGACACTGTAATTATGCTTTTCATCTGTGATTATGAGTATACTGATCATCTTTCATAGAATGTCATCAATTCATATCCCAGAGAAGTGTTACTTGGCTGTGCCAGTGCTTCATTTGGCATTTCACAGATTGCAGTGTATTTTTAAAGTGTGAGCTGAGCACCACTGAAAAAGTAGCAGAGAGAGTTACCGGTCCTGTTGGTTGTACAGCCGCAGGTGGTATGCGAGGGGGCATCATCATCCCTGGCATCATAGGTGGCATCATGCCTGGCATCTAATAAAAGAAGCATCATGAAATATTCATCTGGTATTTCCATACCACGTAGTACAGGCACAAGTATTAAGAAGAAGTGTGAGACAGGGTGTCAGTGGAGAGCTACGTGTAATGAAGGGCGGGGGGCCCGAAACTGAGCCTGCTGTACTTATTCATGGTGTGATTCCACTGCTTAAGATCTGTGAAGCGGCAACACATCAAACTCCATCCCCGTTGCTGGCACGCTGATCAAACACCCTCAGTATCACGCCTATTTATAGACATAGCGGGATCACACATGCTTAGGAAATGTGAACCATTTTGGTTTATAATAATAAAAAAAAGAATAAATAGTGTGACTACCTCAGTTATTCAGTCAACCAGTGCTATAGGTTTAATACAATGTACAAACAGTGTTCTGTAAATCACTGGCATCTCTTTGAAGTACTAAGAGCTGCATGTTTTGCATAAATACATTTTTTAATAAGAGAGACCTGATTCAAAATTGACCAAAGCACAGCCAGAACCAACCCAAATACAACCCAAGGATTACTAGACCAAATTCACAATACGATTGATCCAAACACACCTGAACAGAGAGAGAAAACACAAAACACGGGCAGCAGCATGATGGCATGGCTAGCAATTCATTTGATCAATTAGCGAACAGACGCAGTGGAAAAGGGAGGTAACATAATAAACTTGTCATCTCAACAGGAAAACGTTGCTGGATGCATTGTATGCCTACATTTGATTTGGTTTAGTTTTATTATTATTTATGTCTGAATGATATTTGCAACGAGTTTGGTATAATGATCACTGGTAGTTGTGAGAATATGAGAGAAGCACTCTTTTTCTCTCAGCCTGAAAACCCTTTACGTCACAATCTTGTGACATTTCAGCTGCCCCACTTCAAATCAAAACTAAATCTAATAAAAAGTTCAACAAAAAACCCCATTAATATTAGAGATGCACAGATTGATCGGCTGTAGATCAGAATTTGCCAGTTTTTATCTTGATCATCCATGACTGATTATTATAAAATATCAAAATCTGTACCGGTCAAAATTGCATACATGATGGTTCACTTCACACACAGACAATGCACAGTGGCGCAGACTGAAAACATAGCATGAGTAGCACCTCCTGCTAGCCTCGCGCGTGTTCATTCACACATTGGAAGCGTGTACAAAAACACATAGGACGGTATAGAAACACCTTGGAGAAGGGAAAACTATGTCCTGATCTCTGACAAATAGTACACAGTGAGGGAATTAGGCTACACATGAAATGCATGTATATGTACTGTTTTTCCAACCTGTGGTAAAACACCAAATAAAAACTACACACACACTTTAAAATGTGTCATTCTGTTTCTATTACCTGTTGCACCTGTTTATATTTGGATACCTACACACGTTGCACTTCATTTTTACATAAAAAAAACATTTGCCCTATACCCTGGAGCACTTTTTATTTTGAGCTTTGTTTGAGTGAGAGAAAAACAAAAAATGTAAAACTTAGTAAAGTTAGTTACAAAAATCTCAGTAAAGGTGTGTGTTTTATGGATGTATGAAGGAGAACGGTGCTTAATAAAACTGTTCACCCAGGAGCGGTCCTCTCAAAACCTCCGTGGTTCATGATGAGTTGGCATAATGCTATTCACTCTTTAACACTGCTTGGTAATATCAACATTTTTACAAGTTGATGGTGAACCTCTGTAACTTATGCTTGCTGCGTCTATGCAGCAATCAAGCTAGTGGTGCTACAATAAGGTTTCCTTTAGTTTTACTGGATAAGCAGATTGAAGGATGTAATATTTGGCTCTGTCTATAAGCTGTAAGAGAACATAGAGGCCATAAAACGTTACATGTAGTATTAAATTGTACCGTGTTTTCTCTGATATTTGAAATATTGCATATATTAAGCACTAATATGGTCAATATTGTCAGCCAAGTGGAAACCTTAACAGGCAGCCATTATGCATTTATTTTTAGTTTTAACAGTGCTAGAAGTGATGCTGGTCATTCTGTCATCATGATGCAAGAAGAATATAATTACACCACCAGGCAGAGTAATTAAGAGAAATTAGATGTCCTTTCCTCTGTTTTCTCCTTAATACAGCTATGATTATTCCGACCCATGATCCTAGGCAACATCAGCAGAGAGCAACAAGAGCTTAGCTGGCCTTTAAATCTAAATGTGCACAAATATCACCACTTACTATCCAAATCATAATAAAGGTGCACAGTTACTATACTGTCTCTGCATATTGCCCTCTAATCATTCTACAAGCATCTGCACTTTAATTTAAACATTACATGTATGTTGTGAACACCAAACTCTAGTTTGTAACGTTACTGCTCAGGCTGTGTACATTAGCTACGTACACATACATATCATTTATCTAGGCCATAGTACCCAGTCAAGTGGCCTTTGTGCCCTATGAAAATGTATGAAATCGGAGGCCAAATGGCCTTGCCCTTCAAACTATGAAATGTATGGCCTGGTCTCAACTTTTCTGGAAATGGGATTTCATTTTCACTTGTCATGACCCATCCAACCATTTTTTCTTTAACAATTTCTGCAAATTCTTTGGTGAATATGTTATCATCACAGCTAAAACCAGAAGAACTCAAATAAAACCTGAATTGTAATGGAATAGTTTTTCTTTAACTATTAAAATGTAATTTCCATTTCCTTTTTATTACATGATCAGCACCATAGCTGCTTAGCTACTTGTCAGTGGCAAAGCATTTACATACAAAAGCAATTTCGTCTGTCAGTACAGCAGTTTGAAAAGCATCAACCTGACACACTATGAAAACTCCAGAACACCACCAAGACTCTTTCTTTTTTTAAATAACACCATCTAGCTTTTTTATGGATCTATTTTGGTAAATGGTCTTATACTTGTATAGCGCCTTTCTATGCTTTTACAGCACGCTCAAAGCACTTTCACATTATTCGGCCATTCACCCATTCGCACTCCCAAGCACTCACGCATTCACACACCGGTGACATCACCGGGAGCAACTGGGGGTTCAGTGTCTTGCTCAAGGACACCTCGACATGTTGACTGGACAAGCCGGGAATCGAACCGCTAATCCTCCGGTTAGGAAATGACCCGCTCTACCTCCTTAGCCGCAGCCGCCCCCATAATTTTTGATGTGTCAAATGGAAACAAACCTTGGAGCTTCCTACAAAACTCACCTGTCCTATTGGAGGTGCCCCCATCGGTGGCATTATCCCAGGGGGAATTATCCCAGGGGGCATCGGCGTCATGCTGGGAGGTCGCTGGCCGATAGGGGGCATTCCGATAGGAGGAAAATGAGGCGGTATTCCTGGTGGTCCCATCTACACAAAGGAATAAGGAGAGAGAAGAAAAACATGCATTAGAGCAGATGAAACATTAATGAAGACCTTTAAATATTTATCACCATTCACCATGTATGATAAATGGAAACAAGAAGAAAAAGGCTAAATGTCACAAATATATTTGTCACCGACTTACAAATGGGGGAGGTATCCCTGAGGGCGGTACACCTGGATAAGGTGGCGCTTGGCTAGGCCCATTATTAGCCTCCGATGAAGACTGTAAAAAATAAGAAATGCCACACAGAGTTAGGGAACTCACAACAACCAGTGATGTAATAATGCAATAAAGCTGAGCAGCTTCTCCAAATACAAACTTCTAAAATACTGTTAAATTAATGTTTTGCATTACAATAACTCTCATTAGATGTAAAAATGTACATGTCCCATGCTTTGTCGTGCTTTTCTTACATATAACCAAAAGAACATTCATTTTTGATGAAATTATGACTGATATTTTTTAAGATTAAAAAGCAGTGTTATTACCTAACGCTATAGTTATATGTGTGCAAGTTAGAGAAACCTATTTCACTGGCTTAAGAAGACCTACATAAAGGTTTGGTTATTTTAGCTAATATTGCTGAGGACTGAGTTACATGACGTTTTATTTTTGCAGTTACACACAAGACCCCATAAAAGATAACGCGAATGCATTAATGTTGCCAGAGAACCACACTATAGTTACTGTCTTAACATTAGCTTAGCTGTGTCTGACAGTCTCTGATAGGAGAATGTCTTTATCTGTTTTAATAAATTTTGATTCTCATTAATAACAAACAGACATTATAGAAAGTCCAACCTTTGCATCCGAGTAATGCTAACTTGCTAGATAACTGCTACCGTGTAAAATGCAGTTCATGATGAATGGCTAAAGACTACTGACTCTATCTAATCTCTGATAATTGCCGGCTGTTTAACGCTAACACGAGAGTTTAGCCGACTCCTACTATCCACCCAGCTAAACACGCTTTTATCCAGTCTAAGATTTTAGTTAAACATGTCTTTTACATATATGTAACCAAAACTAGGTGCCTGTTAGTGGCCTCTATTGTTATTTTTACAGTTCAGTTCCAGGACATAGTCTGAGCCATGACGATATATGTGTGTGCCGCTCCCGTAGCCCGGCGCTTACAGGACATGCTAACTCCTGATGTTCTTAGACCTCCAACATTACTGTTACATCATGGAGGCAAATAGACAACTGTTAAGCAAAACAAAAGTACTCATGTATAAAGTCTTTGCAGTTTACTTTAATAGAAAAAATATAATTCGTTTGAAAAGCTGCACTCACCATGTTGACGAGGGAGTACGAACCTCCGAGAAACTTAAACACCTCTCAACAACGACTGAGACGATTGGTTCAACTCGATGATGCTGAGAGGTCAAAGGTAAAGACTCTGCACCATCACTCTGCGTTGGTAATGTGCAGGAAT